TAATATTAGAAAATGATTTTTTAATATTAGAAAATCCTTTTTTAATATTAGAAAATCCTTTTCTAATATTAGAAAATCCTTTTCTAATATTAGAAAATCCTTTTCGTATATTAGAAAATCATTTTCTTATATTAGAAAATCATTTTCTAATATTAGAAAATCATTTTTTAATATTAGAAAATCATTTTTTAATATTAGAAAATAGCTCTTTTTGTCCACTTTGGCTTGCCATAAAAATGTAACTGCATTTGATACGTTACACGATAGAAACATATTTATAATAGTTAAAAAGTAATCATAATCAAATGTTATAGTAAATAAAAATATTACGCAAGGGCACCTGACGAGGATGAACGGCCTTGGTCGAACTTGACCTGAATGATATCCGAAACACCAGGTGTAATATCATCAATTAAAGAAATTCATATACGACCTGTGTTAATTACCACAGATCATTTACGTTGGGAAAATCCTTTCAAATAAATAGATGTGTAAAAGATTATAATGTAACACCAGAACAATCTACCGAGAAAAGGTCAAATCAGATTTTAACAGTTAAAGATAATATATATAATTTAAAGTAAATATATATAAGCGAATTATGCTATATATATGAATAAAAAAATCATGCATTAATAGAATAAACCTGTAATTGAAGACGAACATTCACATGCATATAAAATTGCATATAACGTATACACAGCGATACATGGAAAATCATTATAGAAACTCGATACGGACAAGAAATAAAATAATAATATTAGTAGGTTTTGCTAAGATTGGTTCATGGACACGATTATTTATAAAACAAATATTTGATTTCACGAAAAATTAATAAATAACAACAGGACTAAATTGTAATTTTGTAGGTCCAGTATTTGGTGTCACAGGGTGGTCACATCCCTTCAAACTGTATAGGAAGGATGATGAAAAGTGTGGCACTAATCAGTTATGGACCAAATACAGTCTGAAGGGGCAAAAGGGAAAAGAGGCATTCACAGGTCACCCTTTGTGCAGGATAATCATGAGTAAGTTGATTAAAAAATATGTCGAACATTTAAAAGCAAGTGCCATTAATATAGATTGGATTTTTTATTGGACTTTAATCTCAAAAAGAATTCATATGATGAATATGAATATAATGTTTCTCACTTATTATTTTAGATAGAAACAGAGTGCAAAGTTACATAAAGTTATTATATATATATATATATAAAAGTTTAAAGAAGTTAAAAATAATAATGAAATATATATCTTTTTAATTCTGTAATACTTTTTCAGAAAGTTGTACAAGAGTGTTCCAAAAATCCAAGGATTCCGATATGGAGGGAGTCTTAATTGACTTCCTAAAACAGGCCCCACACAAGCCAGGAGGACCAAAATATAAGGTATTTTTCAATTGAATAAAATATCTTAATATTCGTTTAAGTGGAAGGTTTTATTTATTTAAAAGTTTATTTTTGCAATTTGAATATCTATACACAAATTTCTGAGCCACTTATAGCATTATAACATTTGCCAACCATGCAGAACTTCTGTTTATTTAGAGACATTAGAATAATACATTGTTATGTTCTTGACGATGGAATTATTGTCTTTATCCTGCAAGTAAAACATTGAGATTTACATTTGTAGCAATTGCTTTTGACATGTAAAATATTATTTATGTTTTTTGCCTATCTTAATAATTACTTGGATTGCAAAAAATAGCATAATTTCCCCTTTATAGATTTAATGAAATAGCTTGATTAAAAGGGAGTACAACAACTAACTGGGGTTAAGAGTTATATGCTAAACAGTGTACTTGGGCGTACTGATCTCGTTAACAAATTGCTTTTGATCATTTCAGAAACCTGTAAGAAAAGGACAGACGATTGCGCAAGAAGAATTGGAGTCTGAACAAATAAATCTGTTTAAAAGTACATTGATTCTACTGATTTTAGTCCTGTTAATACTGGTTATTTTTTGTTGCAAAGTGATTAAAGATGTTTATAAAACTATATTCCAATTTCTGCAACAATTGAAGCTTTGGTTATAAACTAGATCATTGATTGAAGTTATTATGATAATATGTCAAATTCTCGGTTTACGAGATATGTTATCTCCTTGTCAATGCAAGAACCTTATTGAATTGACTTTCAAGGTCACAGGACCAAGTTTAAACAGTTAGAGGTTGACAAGCTTTGCTTTGGCATAGTTTTTTTTATAAAGAATATCTTCCTTTAGAGCTTTGGTGTAATGGTCAGTGTCGTCGCCTCAAGTGCGGAGGTTGTGGGTTGGAACTTCGGCCGGGCCAAACCAATGACAATAAAATTATTATTTGTTGCTTCTCCCCAAAATGAGTTAGAGCAAAGACTTCTTGGCCCGTAGTCAGAATAATGTGACATGTCATCCTGCAAACTTGCCTTGTGGGCTAGAACCAACAATTCTGGCACAACATGTTGGTGTATTACAAGACAGGGTATAAATTTTTAATAATCATGTTCTCATCCAGAATATGCATCTGACTTGCCACTGGTCGTTAAACAACCAACTATCCATCCAAGCTTATGGAGATGTTGCTTTTTCTTCAATTAAACACGTGCACAATCAATTATATATTTTTAAACCAAAGTAATGGTGGTCGCACTAATGCATCATTATTACACAAATGTATTGAAAATGTTTGTTGGAGGTTGACAGAAACGTTTTTCATAAAACCTTATTTCAACGTTTTCTGAATGTTCCAAAATAACGTTTCTTCAAAATGTTTTTGAAACATTTATAAGAGTCTACAAATTTTGGTTTTTAAAACGTTTTAATAAAACATTCTAGAAACTAAAACAAAACATTTTTAAAACGTTTTTAAAATGTTGAATTGTTTGCTGGGAGGGAGCAACCATTTGACTTCAAGGAGGGGGGTTATGGTTTTTTGTCTGAGTCAGAATTTTTTTTTCAATCAAATTATTTTGCTTGACCCAGGAACATATATATTGACTTTTTCCTAAAAAAATATTCTGATCCCCAATTTGATCAAAAAAAATATTGTGGTCAAGCTGGGAACTTAGATATACTGTTCCCAGCTTGACCACAATATTTTTTTTGATCAAATTGGGGATCAGAATATTTTTTTTAGGAAAAAACCATAACCCCTCCCCTCCCCCCTTTTAATTTAAATGTCGTTCCCTTATGTGTGCTTCGGGGTGCAGGTCGTTTCGTAACCTGGTCGTTTCGTAACTAGTCGATTCGTAACTTAACTAGGTCGTTTCGTACCTGAGACGTTTTGTAACCTTATATCAATATATAATAACAATAAGATTAGTAGGTTACGTAAAAAGTAATAAAAAGACTTAGTGATGTATGTGTATATATATATCTATATTTATTTATTAAATAATTGATTGCACATAAATTTACACTTTACAAGTACAGTTTTGCACACATGCGAATAGAACAGAAGAATTTGAATTGTCCATCATCATTTAGATGTACCCGTCTTTATCAAAGTATTTAGTCTTCTGCCACGTGCTTTGATGTCTCAAATACTTGACACCACTCATCTTTATGTTGCTAATTAGTTCTTTATTTATCTTCTTTTTTTTCTATCATAAGTTGTTTCTTTCATGTTTCTTGTTTTTAGTCTGACGATGTTGGAGCCTATAACGACAGAAGGTACACCTAAGCGCTTGACATCTTTTGCGAGCCGTACAATTTCTGATGCTGTGTGTGATGCAGATAATTCATCACAGATGTCATTCTCTCCAATCTGTATGAAAACAAAGTTGGGTTTAAATTTCTTCACTATGTGGAGATCAAAATGTCTCAATGACTGTACTTTTCTCCCGCCTACCCCGTGAAGCTTTGTTTCGACAGAACTTGATAAGTCGGATTGCGTTCTTAACATCCAATTTTCCAGTCTTCGGATGAAACTGTGACCGATCACAAGTATTTTGGGCTTATTTACTGTTAGTGACATATTTGGCGTTTATAGACGAATGAAAAAGGAGTAAAAAAACACTGCAGCTATTATACCATTAAGTGAACACTTGTCACTTACATTTATTTAATGTAACCACGCCTAATAATTTATCAATTTAATTCAAATTAAATTTATTCAAAATATTTCACTACTGATTGCTTTTTTGTGTAGTTATTAAACATATATCAGAAATTTTCTCATTCTGGGATAAATACACTCAAAACCAGATGTCCAGTAGTACATTATTAAGGAGGTGTGCTTTTGTTTACGGACCAACTGCTGCTGCTGCTCCGGGCCACTGAGACTTTGTTTCATGTTTATACCAGGGTTTTTCGGACGAAAAATCAGGCTTTATGCCAGTATAAGCATGCAAACAAAGGACAACATAGTGATGTATCTGAAAGAAAGAAAAAGAATAGAGTAAAATAAAGTGTTCTTAAAAAAAAAAAAACTTTAACTCCGCCAACGCCGGTCCCCAGCCCGGGTGAAAAAGGAGGAGGGTTATGCAATTGCATGTAAAAGTGAAAAAAAAAAAAAAGGAGAAAATAATTATTTTTTTCAGGTCGTGTGCCATAGGTCGTGTGCCATTAATCTACTGAATCACTTTACACCTACTGTAATTACTTTTTATTACCTGTCATTAGTTGTCATAAAACCATTAAAGCTGTCACCGAGCGTAATTACAAATTAACCAATTAGCCAATAATTAAAAAGATTTCAGAAAATTTTAAATTAAAAATATTACAATATTGTTATTATTAGATGAACAATTGGATCATTTTTAAATAATAACTTTAACTTTATAACCATATATAATTACAAAAGGTACGAAACGTCTCAGTTACAAAACAACTTAGTTACGAATCGACCAGGTACGAAACGACCAGGTTACGAAACGACGTGCATTCGTGCTTCGTCATATAGATTTAATTGCGTAGCCAAAACAAATCAAATAGAGCATAACCATATTTTCAGCAATCGTAACTACTCGGCCATTCTCGCTATGCAGTACAAATACAGTTATTTCTTCGTGCAACCAGAAAGGCCGAGTAGTTCCGATTGTATTTTCAGGTTACTAAATCGAAACCGGATTTAGATTCGACAGAGTCATTTCTTTTTTCAAACAAGAGACGAAGAGTGGTACACTGATCTATTAAAGATGTCGGACTTGCTTAGTTTTGACAATCCTGTATTTGCTAACTTTGCCTTTTATTCCGGTATTGTGATATGTAAAACAATGTTGATGAGTGGACTTACAGCTATAAATAGATTTAGATACACGGTAAGTTAAATTTATCTACAAACATCCTGAGAATTGAGATGGGTTAATTTTTATTTCAGTTATGATATGTGTTAAGAAAGAAATGCCGCGTTAAAACATGTTGTATAAAATATATTGTTATATGAAATTAAGGAGATGTGGTTTCAACCATATTCACAAAAGACCAAACCCGAAGGGCATGGATTAAACAACTATTGGTTATGGTTCGTTATAAAATAATCTTAAAGGAAAAACAATGACTAAGGTAAACAAAAAATCTTAAAAATTGGGTAGTTAGTGGAAAAAATAATTTTATTTTGAAAAATATTTTACATAGACTATTATAATATGAAAATGTTCAGGACTTCAAACTGATCTAAAATGAGGGAGCGTCTTTTTACCACAGAACACCACAGAATACCACAGAACACCACAGAATACCACAGAACACCAAAAATATACCACAGAACACCAAAAATATACCACAGAACTTCGAAATATATATACTTCAGACATTATATTATTGTTATTGTTAATTCTTTTTATAATTTGACATTTATTATTCAAATAAATTTAATTTTTCTATTTAGGGTCGACTCACTATCGCTACGCCCCCAACTGAATTGGCCTATTATTGGGTCTATACCAAAAACACCTACCGGTATTAAAACCATAATATACAAAAATATTTAAAGTCACAACAATTGTAATTCTGGGGTATATTTGTGACGTTTTACTTTTTTTTTAAATACATTTTAATTTTTTCTTGTTATTTTTTTTTCTTCCATTTTTTAGAATGTTTACTGAGATGCATAACGTAATTATATCTTAAATCTATTTTGTATATACCAGAATTTATCGTTGTAGTTGTCATTTTTTTTTAATTTTATGTTAAGAGTTGTTACAATATGAAAAAGTACATGTATATTATTAAATATTGAATAATATATAAAGCAGTCCTTTAAGGGCTACCAAATACTTTCAAAAAGATATTTAAAGTTGTTGTTGGACAGTTATTTGAGTTGACTAATAAAACATTATAAGTGTGTCTTTATAATAGTCAAAAATTTCAAATTTGATGATTTGGGACTTTTCTTTTGATGTGTGTCTTGATACACTTGATGCAGTTCAAAACCAAATACTGTCGGCAAGTCAGATGAAACATTGTATACACATACTTTACTTGAGATGAAATAAAAGTCATTGGACAATATTTCAGATTTTTACGAAATTTTGTATGCATTTAGAAATAGTTGAACTGCATCTAAATAATTAAAAACTGGCATATGTAGCATTACTATATAGATTCTATATTTTGAGTCCAAAATGATGATCTGAGCGAGTTCACCGGCACATTAAAAGTACCAAAATTTAATTAGATTATCTAATTTTGACACTCGTCGTAATCACCAATTCATCAAGCCAATTAACATGTCCAATGTCATTTTCACAAAGGAGTTCTTTTGTCAAATTTCGATGTTGTGTAGCACCACTAAGAATCGAAACAGGGAGATTTGAAAAATTACTTTTAGAGGAGCGAGTCTGTGATAGTTAATGTAAGGATATTTTAGAAGATGAAGCCCATGTTATTTTATCGTGTCCTTTATATGACGATTTTAGAAAAAAATTATTTGATGAAGCAACACATTTTAATAGTGATTTTATGTCTTTTGATGATAAACAGAAATTAGTGTTTTTATTTACAGATGTTAATATGATTCGTAGCTGTGCCAAAGCCTTTTGTTAGAACTTTTTTTTATATTTTCTACTATTAATATTTTCAAACTGAACATTGATGAAAATTAACTCGTTAGGTTTTATGGATATTTACCTGAAGTTAATTAGCATTATGTTTTGACAATCTAATCTGATGAATCCCTTGTTTATTCAACTATTCCTTCTATTCCTACATAGATTTCTTACAAATGACATACAAGATTTTAGGAGGAATAAACCATTTAATTGAATTATACCTTGCATAATCAGATGGCATTCAGAATTGGGAGAACAAAGTTAATCCTGGGAACAGTATATCTATATAGTCAATATATATGTTCCTGCTTAATCTTATAATAGTGTAATTGGCGCCGGTAAAATTCATCATGTCAAGTCAACCTTTTTTTACAGAAAAAGCCTTTTTTTTTATAGAAAAACATTTTCTTTTATAGAAAAAGCATTTTTTTTTTTAGAAAAACATTTTTTATAGAAAAACATTTATTTATAGAAAATCATTTTTTTTTGTAGGAAAACATTTATTTATAGAAAATCATTTTTTTTTGTTATAAATTGTTTTTAAAAGATTTTTATAAAATATAGTTTAGTATCTCAAAGGTCTCCAAATATAAAAAAAATCTACCAAATAACAAAAAAGTAATGATCATTAAAGAAATGTAAATCTCAACCGGTCAATCGTCCTGTTATTAGTGTAGCCCGAATTATAAAAATAATATAATTCTGAATTATTAGTTTTTCATTTTGTAAAGTAATTCAATGTTCTGTGGTATATTTTAGTAGTTTTATTGTATTTTGTGTAGTTCTGTGGTATATTTTGGGTGTTCTGTGGTATTCTGAGGTCATCTGTTGTGTTCTGTGGTATTCTGTGGTGTTCTGTGGTAAAAAGACGCTCCGCTAAAATGACTGGACTATAACAAAACTATCCATAAAGTGTTGATATCTGCATCAGGGGAAATAACCCAAAACAGTTGATTGACAATAACATTAGAAAAATGAATGGTGTTCATCTCCCTCACATCAAGGATTTGTATAGTCTCACTATACAAATCCTTGCTCACATTAATGAAAGTGAAGTCTTAAACAGTAGTCAAACAATACCAAAATCAATTGATGAAAGTACAGATGAAATTAATGATACATGTACCACAGAATCACTCATCAATATAAGCAAAACACATGATCAAAACATGCCTGATTGTCAACAAAAGGGAGAGGACAACAATAACAATCAAGTAGAAACACAACTGGAAAATTTAGTTACAGAGAAACTAGAATCTATTGAGAAAAAATGTACAAACTTTGATATAAATAGCAATAGCGATAGAAAACATCCTGGTAAAGGTAGCTATGGAAATAACTTGTCTAATCCATTAAGACAAAATGTTCAGCATGATAACAGGGGTCAATCAGAAACAAGATATTTTTCTGAACAAGATGTAGTAGAACCTAATATCCCTAGGGCTGGTAGCCAGAACAATCATGAAAACAATCATTTGTTGATAGTAGGTACATCTGTGGTTAAAGATCTGAAAAAAAAACCTGATGTATAGGTTTAAGAAAGTTAGCATAACTACTTTAAGAGACAAAACAGTTCAAGGTGCTAAAGAATTTCTTGAGACAGGAAAAATGAATGCTAAAAATATTCTTTTTCAAGTGGGATCTAATGATCTGGAAGTAACACAACCTAAATATGTTGTCGAGGAAATTGAGCAGCTTATCATTGATACAAAAAAAAGCTTGCCAGAAAGTTAAATTATTATAAGCCAGATTCTCCCTTGCTTTTATAGAAATCAGAATCTGGAACAGGAATATGAGGTAAAGAGAGTGGAATGTAATCAGCTCTTGTATGAATTGTGTAAACGATATGAGGCTTATTATGTACAACATGAAAACCTTACTCAAGTTCATTTTGAAGATGGCATTCATTTGAATAAACAGAGAGGTATCAAGCTATATGTTCGTAACCTGAAAGAAATTGTTAACCCACTTATTGGAGTAAAAAGTGATGACCAAGACAATTCTAGAAATCACCACGTGAGAGAAAAGCCTGATGGGGCTTCGAATTACACAAGATATCGACAACCAAACAAAATGTACAATAACAGGTATGACGATTCATCAAAACAACCTAGATATTATGATAATCACCAGTATCATCAATCAAACAGAAACTACGACAATTCATGGCAGTTCAATAACCATGATAACAACCAAAAACAACAAGACCATGCTTACAGTTATAATGGTAACAACAGATGGCAAAACAACAACAATAATCAATACCGAAATGACGACATAAACCTGAGAATGCTCCGTATAGCATTAGGAATTTAATCAGAAAAGGAACATATTGTCATGTGGTAGAAATATATTTAAATGTATTATTTTTTGTTATTTTTTTACTATTCTCGTTCTGGCATAAAAAAAAAGGGGGGGAGGGGATCTTTTCAAAAACTTTATTCAAGTCCATAATTTTGCAAAGTGTTAACTGATATCTACTAAATTACAGAAACAAAGCCATAATTTAACCAGAATATTTCTATTTTTTAAACTTGGCTTAATTTAAATATAAAATAAGAAGAGAAATGACTAAAAAATTCCACTTGTTGTTTTTTATCCCAACTGTAAATAATTACTTGTGCAAGTTTAATGTACATGTATGTTTGGCTTAACATTTCATTCAACAAATTAAAATGCCATGAAATTCATTGAATGTTGACGTATATATATATGCATATTTGATGACAACAGATTGTTTATTTGTTATAATTACAATTAGTGTTATAATTACTATTTGTGTTAGAGATTACACATTTATATATTTTGTCCTATATGTTTCATAAATCGTACTACAGAATATAAACTGTATGTATGTCTATTCCTTGTTAATTGAATTGTGACCCTTATACATAAATCTAATATTGATATAATTTCAAATATTATCAGAAGTTCCACAAATGTTTTCTTAAATATAATCATAGAAAAGTTGTATGAGAAAAATAAAGTATTGTTCCTTTTAATACATTCAATATATATATATAATTCTTTGTTAAATAACAAAACATTTCATTTAGACCTCCTTTTAAAAATATCTGTATATAGATATTTTGGAAATTGATTTATATTACTTGCCAGTAAATCATATTCTTAAAATCAAAAACATTGCTTTATTGATAAATAATGAGTTAAACATGATATTTACTTGACTATTTTCCTATTCAAAGAAAGATTAATAAAGTTTTTAAAGAACACACATTTCAGTATAATTCAATTGAAATACACATTAATGCAGGCAATTTATAACTTCAAGTTTATTGTTTTCTTTTGTTTTTATATTAAATCTGGAAATAATCCAAAGAATTGTTAGCTTTGGATGGGTAAAGCAATAAATTTAGAGTTATCTTTCTTAGAACCATATCATGCTATTTGTATGTGAATTTGCACCATTATTTTTTATGAATATGAATAACTTATCTATAGGATCTTGGAATGTAAATGGTTTGGGAGATAAATACAGAGATGATCAAATTATGTCTTGTCTGAAGTATGATATTAATATTCTAATAGAGACTTGGAAAGGTGTTGATGATACTTCAAACATACCTGATTTTAAAATTTTTCAAAAATGTAGAAAAAAGAATAGACGCTCTAGACGATTTAGTGGTGGAATTATTATTCTTTATAAATCCCATATCCATAAAGGGATAATTGAAATAAAAGATTTAACTTCATCAAAAAACCGTTTATGGATTAAATTAGATAAGAACTTTTTTGGCCTTGAAAAAGATTAATTTGTTTGTGCCACTTACATCCCCCCCACTAAATTCTCCCCACTATGATGATGATTTCTTAAAATTGGAGACAGAAATTACCCAAGTGTCTGATAAAGGTAATGTTCTGGTAATTGGGGATTTGAATGCTCGAATTGCAAATCATGATGATTCTATTGCAGATGAAAATAAAATTCATAGCTCTCTACAAGATATACTTCCAGAGGACTATGTTCAAGATTTTGATATAGATAGAAATTCTTTAGATAAAGTTTTTAATTCCCAAGGCCAGCAATTGATTGATCTCTGTATCGCCTCTCAGCTAAGAGTTTTGAACGGTCGTTTTATTGGTGATATGCTGGGAAATATGACATGTTTTAAACCCAGTGGGTGTAGTACTGTTGACTATGCCTTGACCAGTGTGGACCTTATTAACTCTGTTAGTTTTTTTCAAATTTTAGAACCTTCATATTTATCTGATCATGCTCAAATTGTAGTCTTTTTAAAAGGTTGTATATCCATTCAAAATATGAATATAGATAGAAAATACAGTGAGATAGATATGACATTTAAATGGGAGACTATTTCTAAGGAAAAATTATATACTGTTTTAGAAGAAAGCAGCACTAGAGATGAAATACTTGGTTATGAAAATACACCATTTGAAATAAATTGTTCTGGGGTTGAGAGAGCAGAACAACAACTAAATAATATATTTAAAACATTAACCATGCGCTCATGTAAAATTATTAAATCCTTTTGTAAAAAGAAATTAAAAAAGAAAAAGCCATGGGAAGATAGAGAACTAGCTGATGTAAAGAAAACTGTATCAAATCTAGCCAAATTATTACGAATAAATCCTTATAACCTCAATTTAAGGAATAATTTTCTTGGTCACTGTAAACTATGTAAAAAATTAATAAAAAGAAAGAAAAATCAATTTAAAAAGGAAATATTTAGTAAGCTTTCAGCCCTTAGAGATACAGACCTTAAACAATATTGGAAATTATTAAAATCATTAAAATATGAGAAGACTAATAAAAAAATTGAGCTTCAAGCTGGTTTTCCAGAAATTATTGATCATTTTAAGCATCAAGGAGAGACTGTAAACTATGATAAAGAATTTAAAACTAAAATTGAAACAGATATATTAAATGAAACTGATGCACTTTTATTCAATGAGGTAACTGATAAACCTTTTACTATCAATGAAGTAAATAAATGTACTAGTATACAAAAATTAAAAACTGGAAAAAGCTCTGGTCCAGATAAAATTTCTAATGAAATTATTAAATATAGTGGTGTTGTTACTTGTAAAGCTATTACTAAGCTTTTTAATTTAATTCTTAGATTCTGGTAAATATCCATCAAACTGGAGAAAATCTTTTACCATACTTATTCATAAAGCTGGAGACAAGCTAGATATAAATAACTATAGGGGAATTTCCCTTCAAAATTGTATTGCTAAACTTTTTAGTGCTGTTATTAATTCTAGAGTTGTAACTTATTATGAAGAAAAGTTTTCAGTTCATCAATTTGGATTTAGAAATAATCATAGGACAGCAGATAGTATTTTTATTCTAAAAGCTTTAATAATAAAATATTTGACAAAAAAGAAGAGTAAAATTTACTCTTGCTTTGTTGATTTGCGTCGTGCATTTGACACCGTTTGGCATGCTGGTCTCTTATACAAATTAAAAAAGGATGATGTTGGAAAGAAAATATTTGAAGTAATTAAAGATATATATAAGTGTTGTGAATCTTCAGTTAAAATAGATAATAAACAATCTGAATTTTTTGAAATAAATAAAGGGGTCAAACAAGGGGACAGTTTGAGCCCCACATTGTTTAATTGTTTTATTAATGATCTCCATTCAATTTTTGATGGGACATGTGATCCTGTGTCCTTAGATAAAACATCAATAAGTAGTCTTAGTTTTGCTGATGACCTTTTAATATTATCAGAATCACAAAACGGTTTACAATCTGCTTTGAATAAACTGGAAAAATATTGCTACAAATGGCAACTCACTGTAAATACAAATAAAACAAAAATTATGATTTTTCATTCTAGAAAATTCTTTTGAGTCAAAATTTTTTTATAAACAAAATCAGTTAACTGAAGTTAAAAGAGTATAATTTTCTTGGGAACATTATTGATAATAAAGTAAAATTTAAGAGATCTACACATGAACTATCCAAGAAAGCGCTTAAAGCGTTATTTTCATTAAAAAAATATATGTCTAATTTTCATCATGTTCCTATTGATTTATCATGTAAATTATTTGATTCACTAATTAAACCCATAATTTTATATAATAGCGAGATCTGGTTTTTGGAAGATTATTACTCAATTTTTAGAGCCATAAATAGAGCCACTTTGCATGGAACTAACTGTGATATTTTATCATTGGCAGATAGATTCAGCTTTGAGAAAGTGCATCATAAATTTTGTAAAACTGTTCTTGGAATTAAAAAAACCTCATGTAATATAGCTGCAAAGTCTGAGTTAGGACGATTTCCGCTTGACTCCTTTATTAAAACTCAAGTTTTGTTATATTTTTGTAGAATAAACTGCCATGAAATAAACCATCTTGTTAGAGAAGCTTTTGCAGTAAATAAGTCTATGTCTGAAGATGGAATATATACTTGGTATACTTTTGCCAAGCATACTTTTAAAGAATTTAATATTGATGAAGAAGAATATGTTGATTTTGATAAACCTTTTAAACTTATAAAAAATTCACTCAAAAAAACTTTTAAACATATTGTGAAGGAAAAGTATAATAACATCACTCTTCAAAAACTTTCAAATATTGATAACAGTTCAAAACTTTATCTTTATAGTAAACTTAAAAATGAAATTAAATTGGAGGACTACTTGCACAATCTAAACAATTTTAATAGTCGTCAACTTTTAACAAAATTACGTGTAAGTGATCATAATTTTGAAATTGAATTAGGACATTATAAAAAAATTCAAAGAGAACACAGGCTGTGCAAAGTTTGTAAAATTTTAGATGATGAGGAACACTTTTTCCTTCATTGCCAAATTAACAGTAATGTAAGACATTCCCTTATAAATGCAATTAAAACCCATTATCCTAATTTTAACCAGCTTGACTCAAACTCTAAACTTAAAACTATTCTAGATCCCAATAAAGATATTTTTGTCTAGTGTTGTAGACTATATAAAGCAATCTATGGAATTGCGAAAATAGGGTCCACATTGGTCAATTATTATATATATATATATATATATATATATATATATATATATATATATATATTATTATTAATATCAACTTGACTTGTTTTAAACATTTATCATGTATTATATTTCTTGTCACTTGTGTATACAATGTACTATGTTTGCATTTTAACCCGCCAGGGTTTCATGTTTTGCAATAAAGTTATATACATAAAATGTTCGATTGAAGGCATGACTAATAAAGGGAAGGCAGGGAGGCAGGTAACAGAACTGTATATATTTTTTTTTGGTCTGACTATTTTGTTGTGACGTGTCATGACCAATTACATTTTGCAAAGTCATTTATCTGTATTGGTGAACTGAAGTAGTTCTTTCCTATAACAATTGTAAAAAACTTACTAGACGACAAGTTTGTGATAAGTCAGCTAAAAATGGACCTGTTGCACTCCATCGACATTTCTATATCAAATGAAGTTAACCGTAAATTGAACTCAATCTGGATTTGAAATTGACCGACACATCAATATGCTTTTTCGTTTTTAAAAATATTGTGGAAATAAGCGTTTTTAACGTTGTTTTCACTGATTAATTGATTATTGCTTGCTTATCGTTCATTGGCAAATTTTTCACGAATATTCATCATGATTCTAAATATAAACAAGGAAACAGTCTATATCGTGTAAACTTATCTGTAATTTTTGTGGTTTAATTCAGTACAAACTTACAATGAATTAATTTAATTTTACATTATTTTCAAGGCATTTGTAAATCCAGAAGATTTTATTAATTCCAAGAAACCATTAGAAGAAAGAAAAGCGCCACCTAATTCCACTGTTGAGCGCATTAGAAGGTTTGTACAATGTATTACAAGGTCGTCAATTGTTATGTTTATCGAGGACTCGGTCTGTTGATCTACCTGTATATAAAGTTAAAATTGAAAATGGAAATGGGGAATGTGTCAAAGAGACAACAACCCGACCATAGAGCATAAAACGACAGAAGGCCACCAATGGGTCTTCAACACAGCGAGAAAATCCCGCACCCGGAGGCGGACTTCAGCTGGCCCCTAAACAAAAATGTGTCCTAGTTCAATGAAAATGGACGTTACACTAATTAGTCTGTTGATCTACCAGCATATGAAGTTACTTTGGACAAATGTCCGTTGGTCGATGAGGTTTTGGGTCCGTTAAGACTAATTTGAAATAAATGCTTCAAATTTTGTAGAATTTTTACTATTTTCTCATATCCCTTTGGATTTCGCAAATTGTATTTAGCAGAATGTTCAGCATAACAAAACAGAACAACAATGAATTCAATTGTCTAATGCATATTTGTAATATCTGAATAAAACTGAAAAAGACGAAAAGAGACTCTTTAATATCTTCAATACAGTCTATTTGGAAAGTAACGAGATACTTTAGAAAATAGAAATAAACATTGATATTTGCATTTACACATGTACAAAGAGTGCAAAATAAAATGATTTCTCTAATTTTACAAAAAAATGTCCGTTGATGAGTTCAATGCATTTTAATTAAGCCGGTGACAAGTTTTAACCAACAAACTTTGAAAAATCTGATTTACCCAATTCCAATTTTCTTCATGTTTTTAAGTGATTAAATGTATGTACTGTAATGAAATTAGAAAATGCGGTGATTACTCTGTGAGTTTCGTTATAATGTCGGTGGCATGTCTATCGTTTGTTCGTGTAATCTGTACGAATTGTGCAACGTTTGTTCATGTAGTCTGTACGAATTGTACAACGTTTGTTCATGTAGTCTGTACGAATTGTACAACGTTTGTTCGTGTAGCCTGTACGAATTGTACAACGTTTGTTCATGTAGTCTGTACGAATTGTACAACGTTTGTTCATGTAGTCCGTACGAATTGTACAACGTTTGTTCGTGTAGCCCGTACGAATTGTACAACGTTTGTTCATGTAGCCTGTACGAATTGTACAACGTTTGTTCATGTAGCCTGTACGAATTGTACAACGTTTGTTCATGTAGCTTGTACGAATTGTACAACGTTTGTTCATGTAGCCTGTACGAATTGTACAACGTTTGTTCATATAGTCTGTACGAATTGTACAACGTTTGTTCATGTAGTCTGTACGAATTGTACAATAATAAATACCAAAGTTCAACACCACAACCTTGTCTTCATTCTCATCGTTTAAACCTACCAGAAACAATGAAAATAAAGAAAACAATCGATGAACATTAAAAGAAACTGTTGCATCCGAGTCAAGTGAACTTTAAACTTTTCAAATAGTATTACAGGCAGTTTGCAGATTAAATTATACAAATAAATGCAAGAATGAAGATTCAAATCAATCCGAAGTTTGTGTGTTATTGCTTTTATCATTTTTATTTTCATCTCTATATGAAAGAGGACGTTAAGCAAACAACAATAATATAATCTAAATAAAAAGAGATGTAGGAAGACACAATTGTGACAGCGAAAAAGAATAAAAGTTGGTCACATCTTAATTTCGCAATAAGACTTTCAAAATGGAAAAGGGCGTAATGTAGAACGCAACAATTAAATAAGCTGTAAATAAATCCAACAAAAGCGATCCAATACCTCACAATAACCACCAATTATCAATATAGATAGAAATCCTGAAAATTATACAATCATATGATGAAAGGACTATTGAAGCTTTCTGCAATCTTGAAACTCAAACTAATGTTTGAAGGAAAACATAAAGCACAATGGAACATGAACTTCGGACAAACACTTCCATGTTTTTACGATTTTTGTGTCTACGAAAAGCCAGTAGGGTTACTTTGAGAAGATCTTTTAGAGTTTGTAGTATTTTAACCTGTGACAAGAGTCTTGTATGTACCTATTTAATCATGGTCATTTCAGAAACATTGATCAATGATTACTTGGCGGATTGATTACAATGTCCAATTAACCGTTCTTTGTAGTAATAAAAAGTTTTTTTTTATTACCCCGTCGTCTTGCTCTCTGGTGACGTGGCGACGTAGTCCGTCTGTCCGTCTGTTCGTTTGTCTGTCTGTCTGTTCGTCCTTCCGTTCCACTTTTGTATTGCAAATGCTCTTGAGCCGCTTGACAATATTTTGTAATACATATTTTTGCATTTTTTATTTCATTTCTTCATCCGAATTCCTTTTGCTGTGCTGTTAACTTTGGCGTGACATAGAATTTGTCATATCCGCACAATATAGTACATATGTGCATGCATTTCTCCTCCCAAACCCTCATGAGAATTTAAGGAAAATTTCTCAGACCGTTCACCAGGTAATACCATTGTGCACCACATATTTTGTGTTTTATATCCGAATTATTTTTTAGCAAATCATGGACTTTGCAATTCCTCTATCTCGAAGAGGGTACCTATTTTGTATCTGCAGTTTACACCATATTATGCCATTTTGCTCCTCCTGTTTTGTTTTTGACCTATTTTTTTGTGGTTTCTCTTATAAATCCTGGACTTTGCAAGGGATAGGGGTATCATTTTATGAGCTTAGATACATCGGGAGTCATTTTTCATGTCAAGACGTACTGAGGATAAGAAAAGAACTGAAGAGTTCTGTTTGAGTAGTAAGGATGAGAATAATCATGAACATTTCGTTCTAAACCTTAATCCTGCAGAATATACGTATATACGTCCCTCTTTTCCACACAATTTGTTAGAATATAGTCAGTTTCGCAGTTTATACATATTGCTCTGTTTGAAATTTTAGGATGATTTCCAAAATTAAGTACATTATACAATCATTTATTTTTCAGATGCCATCTTAATGACCTGGAGAACGTCATTCCCTTCGTCTTGATTGGATTATTATACGTGTGCACAAAACCAGATCCCGGAACAGCTTTAATTCATTTCCGTACTTTCACAGCATTTAGAGTTTTCCACATGTTTGCGTACCTGATACCTTTGCCACAGCCATCAAGAGCACTAGGGTTTTTAGTTGGCGCTATTGCCACAGGGTCCATGGCTGTATCTGTACTGAAAGCTGGATCATATTAATTTTTTTCGTGTAGAATCACTATTCTCAGAATTATACATTTTTAATACACGGGCTTTGTGATGGCAGCATTACGTGAGGCTACACAAGTCCTTTATACGTCCATTTGTTTGCCTTGAATAATTGGAAGGTGGTTTAGAATAATTGAATAAAATTTATCAGAACATACCATTTAAACGTTTTTAGAGAAGTTAGTTGTTCATTGACCAGGATATTTGGACTTAATGAATTAGTCGTCCAACTCCTAGACATTTATTAATTGTTATGAAAGTCTAAATGTACACCCTTTACGATTCTGTATAAAAGTCGAACTTATCAAACATTCTGTCTGATGGAAACCAGATACTATTCCCAAAAGAATTTGTATAAAATTGTTTGATTTTTTTTTAGGTGAGGCACCTTTTTTTGGTTTTGTATTTAAATCATCAATGCAACAACAAAATGAGTATGACTATAGTATAACGAGATGATATTATCCCTTGTGATGACAAATAACATTTAGATATATTCTAAGTTCATTATTATAGCTAGAAAGACAATATTGGGTATTACAATTACAGACAATATTGGGTATTACAATTACAGACAATAATGGGTAATACAATTACAGATGTAGACAATATTGGGTATTACAATTACAGACTATATTGGGTATTACAATTACAGATGTAGACAATATTGGGTATTACAATTACAGACACTATTGGGTAATACAATTACAGATGTAGACAATATTGGGTATTACAATTACAGATGTAGACAATATTGGGTATTAAAATTACAGATGTAGACAATATTGGTATTACAATTACACACACTATTGGGTATTACAATTACAGACAATATTGGGTATTACAATTACAGATGTATACAATATTGGGTATTACAATAACAATTACAGACAATATTGGGTATAACAATTACAGACAATATTAGGTATTACAATTACAGACAGTATTGGGTATTACAATTACAGACAATATTGGGTATTACAATTACAGACAATATTGGGTTTTACAATTACAGATGTAAACAATATTGGGTATTACAATTACAGACAATATTGGGTATTACAATTACAGATGTAGACAATATTGGGTATTACAATTACAGACACTATTGGGTATTACAATTACAGACAATATTGGGTATTACAATTACAGATGTAGACAATATTGGGTATTACAATTACAGACAATATTGGGTATTAAAATTACAGACAATATTGGGTATTACAATTACAGACAATATTGGGTATTACAATTACAGATTTAGACAATATTGGGTATTACAATTACAGATGTAGGCAATATTGGGTATTACAATTTCAGATGTAGACAATATAATGGGTATTACAGTTACAGACAATATTGATTATTACAATTGCAATTACAGACAATATTGGGTATAACAATTACAGACAATATTTGGTATTACAATTACAGATGTAATTAGAAAAAAGAAGAAACATAATCAGTAAAGTCTCAAAAGTATAAATTTTGCCGCTGCTCAAAGTATCATTGTATGCCTTTCATAACCTTTCAGCTTGAATAGCACTAAGGGCCGAACTGAAATGTTCTCATCACGTGGCGTCTGTTCGTCTGTAAACTTTTGTCTGTTATCTGTCGTAGACTCTCTTAAAGAATCTTTCTTATTAGAGATCACCGGGACAATTGAACTTAGTCATAATTTTATATTGTATTTCAATATGGTGTGCAGTTTTAACTTCATATTAAAATCATATGGTGATCAACAAACATGGCCACTGTTACCAAAAGTATAGGACAAAGTTGTTAAAATGGAGAAAAAAACTTTTTTTAAACTCTGGAAACCCCATTAGTGTCATATAGCTGCAAAACCTAATATAATCTCCCTTAAATGTTTAAGAATTATAAGGTTGATTGTCCGACCCAGTACTCCTACATCACAACGTTACAAAAAAAATCAAATCAAATTTTTCGTTTAGGACTTCTTGTCCTTCTCGCTAACAGGAAATATTCAGTTTGCAGCATTGTCTCATTTACTATAATTTTACATCTCTATCTATTAATCTACATTGTGATAAATGAACATTCAATTAGGACTAAAAATCCTTGTACCTTTCTAAAGATACTGTACAAAATTGATATCTGGGAACACAGGATTCATCTTCAATTAGTTTTTCGAGACTCACTGTCTAGTTAAAATACAAAGAATGAAATTAGAGATTTTCTTACTTTTGAAATCTTACTTCAAAACAACAGTTTCCTTTTCCGGACCAATGATTGCCATGTCATTAGTCAGTTTGTTTTTTTCCCCGTTTCAATTATTCCACATTTGTTATCATATATGGTCATGTCGTGACCTTTTAAAGCTGACTATACAGTTTTGGGTTTTCTCATTGTTAAAGGCCGTACGGTGACCTACTTTCGTCAAAGTTTTCTGGAATGATTTTATATTTGGTCTGCAGCTTCATAGTGTTGATTTAATGTGAAAGCAATATTTATATCTGCCATGCACCCATTTCCTGAGCTTGCATTTCCTATCATGACTTCGTATCTTGATAAGAGTGTTACCGCTGACAAGGAAGCTACTGTATTGATTTAAACCAAAAGTTCCAAATGGTGGAGTTGAAATCATCCCTTCGAATATTTTACGGACGCTATCACACGATTTGGTTGACCGTTATGGAATACCTGTTTCACGATGACGACGGATATGTTCCAATTGTCGTAACCATAATCCGTCCTCTTTTCTCGAATGTGACCTACCGAATTTGACTTATCACAGGGTTTGTACATACATGAGGAATACGACGGGTGCCATATGTGGAGAAGAATATGCTTACCCTTCCGAAGCACTGTCATTTTTTTTGCCATGGCGTTGTCAGTTGGTTTTCGGCTTATTAGTTTGAATATCCTTTTGGTATTTTTCGCCTCTATTTTATCAAATATCTCAAAGAATTTGTTTCAAAGATACATATCGAAAGATGTAAGATATCTTATTTCATAAACTATATAAAATATATAATTTGGTTTAAACAGATATCTTATAAAGTGAATAATATATCTTATAAAGTATATACGATATAATTACTTATATTAAATATGATATATCTCATAAAATACAAGATATCTTATACACTTCATAACTTTTATAAGATATCTTGAAATTGAATAAACACAAACGGCTTGCCATACATACTTAGCTCCTCCTTTCACTAACTGTGTATAGGATAGTTAAAGGTCCAGTTTATTTCTGTCTAGTCACGGAGGAAGATGTCGGACTTGTTAACATTTGGAAATCCTGTGTTTGGCCAGTTTGCTTTTTATTCTGGCATTGTAATATGTAAAACAATGGCCATGAGTTTACTGACATCAGTTAATAGAATGAAAAATCGAGTAAGTATAAGTAGTTCACACATGCACATACTTCATTTTGTTTACTTAGTCATATCATGTTATATTTAGTACGGTGTCCTGATTAAATATTTTATCATAATTTGTAACTTGATGTTATATACAATCATACATTTAAATATTATGAATGTATTTTGTAAATTAAGGTTTATGATACCTTCTGTATGCCTATGTGTTACGAAATTTTCAAAATTCTACAATGTCAAAACAGTTTTTATTTGTGGAGGAAGCTGGTGAGAACCACCGACCTTTTACAGCATCCGAATAATAATCAATTATAATAGAGGGTCTGGGTGGGGTCCCTCAATTCAGTATTCTTTAATTTTTTAAGTCATTTTTCGCCCATTATTCTCTATTCTGTATATTTTAGTGCCCCATTATTTCTATTCGTTATTTTTAGGCCTATTACTCTGTAATATTGGCCCATTATTCTCTATTCTTTAAACCCCTTTCAAACCCTTATAATAATGTACATGTCTAGGTTTAACTCGTTTCGTTTTAGGCATTTGCAAACCCAGAAGACTTTAAGCTTAGAGGGAAGCCCGGAGATGAAGGAAAACCTGTAACAAATGCTACAGTGGAACGCATTAGAAGGTTTGTGAATGGTACAATTTATAAACCTTATTTTATTTTTAATGAAAAATATAAGAAAATGTGGTATGATTGCAAATGAGTGCAAATTACAGGGATAAAACATCAGATGGTCAACGTACGGCCTTTAACAATGAGCAAAACCCATACGAATAGTCATTTATAAAAATTCCTGACATGACAAAATGTGAAACAATTCAAACGAGAAAACCAACGTTCGGACACATATTAAAACGCATTTTCTTGCTTGCTTAATTGTTCAAACCTGTATGATGCAGTTTCAATCTCCGAAGATCATCTGTCATAATAAGACGAACAATCTTTGCATGAAGCCAACAAAGTGGCATAATAAAAAAAAAACCAAACCCCATTGTAAATCATGAATGAAAAAAAAAAGTAAAATCTTTTAGAACTGGTTAAAATAGTTCCAAATTGGCCGAATATTTCTGGAATTCACATGAAATAGAATTCATATATACATAACCCTTGTATAAACAAAAAGAAAGCACATCTAGCAAAATCTTTTAATTTCACTTTTATATATTACTGGACGCCATTACCGGTATATAGCCAAAGGTGCTGATAGTTGCGTTAAACACCAACCATCAATCTATCAACAAGTCCAAACCTTCCACTGGTAAAACAATGGATTATGAGAAATTTAGCATCAGTGACGAAAATATAAAATGAAATGCATAAAATAAATAATCGTATGTTTGTAATTTTGTATTTATAATTTTAGATGCCATCTGAATGATCTGGAGAACGTAATTCCCTTTGTCTTGATTGGATTACTATATGTGTGCACAAAACCCGACCCGTCAACAGCATTGATGCATTTCCGTGCTTTTACCGGATTGAGAATTTTCCACACATTTGCGTACTTGTTACCCTTGCCACAACCATCAAGAGCCTTAGGGTTTCTTTTAGGAGCTGTCGTAACTGGATCTATGGCATTAGCTGTACTTAAAGCCGGCTCATATTAATACATGTGTTTGTATACTTCATCAAACTAATTAAAGACCATTAAAGCGTACCGCATAGATTTTGAATATTAGATCAAAGAAACATTTCATTTCAGCAATCAAATATATCGAGTGTAAAAATATTATTTTATAGGATGGAACTTTTGATACTTGTACCTTTATAAAATAGTCATATCGTATTTCTGTCATTTGCTATGCCTCTGATTCTTAAAACTATGAGAGAAATATCAATCATCCAGAATGTGCCTTATTTGAACAAAAAAAAAAACCCATTCATATCATATATAAGAAGCATGTGGGTGTGTATACCTTGTTTTTCCCTTCGTTATTATTAAACAGATTTTTGAAAGTTGAAACAGTATATATTTATTTAGTACTTATTTTTATTATTAAAACCAAAGTGATATATTTCTTTAGTGATTTGCAGAAAAAAAGTATTACTAACCAAATTTATACCGTTACATACAAATGTATACGTATTACCGAAGAAATCTTTAACTAAATTTCATTATTCCATAAAATGTTTAAGAAATAATTCAAGCAAGCCATATATAATTTGATGAAAATTTTCACATGGCCTGGGCCGTAATATTCAAATTTTAACCAAAGCTTCAGCCATTTTAAAATATGTTTATCTCTGAGTCTGCGCTATGTATAGATCATAAATCGAGAATTTTACCGTTATGGAATATCTGTTTCACAGATGACGCCGGATATGTTCAAATTGTCGTAACTACAACCTCGTCCCTTTCCCCCCGAATGTGACCTACCGAATTAGGCATATCACTGGGTTTGTACTTACATGAGCAACACGACGGGTGCCACATGTGGAACAGGATCTGCCTACCCTTCCGGAGCACATGAGATCACCCCCAGTTTTTAGTGGGGTTCGTGTTGCTCAGTCTTTGATTTTCTATGTTGTTTTGTGTACTGTTGTTTGTCTGTCTTTTTCTTTTTTAGCCATGGCGTTGTTTATTTTCGACGTATGAGTTTGAATATCCCTTTGGTATCCTTCGCCTCTCTTTTATCACACTGTTGTTTACAAAGCGAAACAATCGCGTCATATAAGAATAACAAATAACAGAGACAAATTACTTTACCGAAATGGTTTTGGATGTTAAAGTCCTGTATTTTCAATACTAGAATCTCATGACTATCTTACCTTTATCTCACGAGTGTCTGTCACATATCACACGAGGATCTACCCAAGAGCTCTGAATCTACCCCATATTTTGTAAACATATACCCCGTACCTTTCCGTTTTTCGTGTGCACCTACTCCGTATCACGTGAACATTTACCTGATTTTATAGTTATCTACCATATACCACTGTTACCCCGTATCTCAAGGAGAATCAACCAAGTCTCTCATCTACTTGGTATTTCGTGACCGTCCTCAAAGTATCTCTTGAGCATCGGACAAAACTCTCTTGGCATCTTCCCTGTATGAATTAAACATTTAAATAAAAAAAGAAATGCCGTTTCTAAAACGGATGTATTAAAATTATAAATGATCATCTGTACGTTTACGTATAGGACAATTAAGATGACTATCAAATTTGATATGAGGAAGAAAGAATCTCGCATATGTCACCCGAGGAAAAAATGATGATGTATAGAAAGTCAACAGGTACTAAAAACAATTAGAAAATGAATTTGCCATATTACATTGACGGAGATAAGTTATCAAGTAAAAGAAACATACATCATTCTGTGACATTTAGCTGGTAACCACAAATGAGATGATTGTAAAATATCTTGGAAATTACTTCTATAGTAACAACTATTATGATATATAAAAGGTCAGTTGTATTTGGATAATGCTTCCAATCATTTATTTTTTTAACGTTACAAGTACAGTCCGTGGACACTTTTTATACTAAATCCTATCGGTACTTATATTGTGACATTGCACAAGGTCACGCTTTTCCCAGTTTGCAATGTCTTGACACAAAATTCGAAGGAGGTGTGCTGATTGGTGGTTAAGTAGTGGAGAATTTGGTTTTTTTTGGTAAATGAAATTGGGGTTTGAAGTATCTTTCAGTAAAAAACCATGGTAAAATTTCCGAACTCTAAGGTAAATCCATGAAGGGGAAGTCCATAAAAAGTGACAAAATCAAACGTTATCAACCTACAGAATCAGTGAAAAACAACTGTCAAATTCCTAACGTGGTACAATGATTTCCCGAGAAAAAAACGGTCGGTTAAACCTGGTTTTATAGCTAGCTCAACCTCCCACCTATATGACAGTTGTTTATAGTTTCGTTTATTAACTGTGAGTACTCTTAGATCGATACTTTGCATTTTTGTATTTTTTTTGTTAGTTTGTTTTGTAATTATTAACGATCTGGCGAGTCAAGCCCTTTCCAAATAGTTCTTTTCAGTTTGTTATAATGTTTTGCTGCAACAGTTAGCCAGGAGCCTTTAATCCAGTGGTTGTCGTTGATGTCTGTCATTACTGTTTTTTGTTTATTGTTTTAGTATAGATCATACCTTTTTTGAAATTGTTGTTGTTTTTGTGCATTTTCATACAAAAAGAAAAGGCGTTAGGTTGTTTTTGTTTACTTTCACATTGAATTCAAACCACTAACCGAGTTACCGAGTTAAAACAAGTATAAATCACTCAACCCTCAAACATAAATGAAATTCACACAATTACCATTTACGTATGTCTTATCTAAGATTAACAAAGCCATAAAATTCACTCTCAATAATTGAATGTTTTTTCGAATGACTGATTATTAACGTCAAGTTTTAAAATCCGGGATCTATTATATGGACATAAAAACAGACAACAGTTGTATCTAATCTTTGTCTTGGGGGCATTTCCAAGAAAAATAAAAATGTTTTCTTTGCTTGAAGTGTAAAATTTAAGAATACAGCAAGCAAAAATAAGAAATTTCTCTTGGGTAAAATAGGGGGGATTGATATATCTATACTACTAAAATAACGAGGTCCAATTTGTTAGCCGGCATGACGTAAAAACGACGAATCAAAGAATTCAACTTTATATTTAACTGATATAGGACAATGGTGCTGATTAGAAATTACATCCTTCCAGGTTTTTTTGTTTTCCCCATAATCAATATTACCATTAATTAACAAGTTCCGGGTCGAATCCGATACCGGTACCAGTAGTACCTGTTACCTAAACTGTACGTTCCGCCTATGTCAGGCGCACCACCAAACGGTGTATTTGGGATTTGCTATATACACGGGTCATAATCACACCTGAACTTTGTCATTATACAGGGATTAACACTACTAAATTCCATCATTGACCCAAAAATATATCTACAAGTAGTTTCCGGTTGTAGTAAGAAAACCTGAACGAATACAAACAGAAAGAATTTGAAAGCAGAGAAAACTGTGCACCTTATAATCAGTATGACTTTATCAAATGACAATACGAATACTTAAAATCCAGGCTGAAAATAAGGCATAGGTAATTTAATTCAGTCACGGACCCGCGGGTGTGTTCTAGTATATATATATATATATATATATATATATATATATATATATATATATATATATATATATATATAAACAAGTCTAAATTGAAAACAACGTTCAAACCTATGATTGCGTTGGGTAAAAACCGCAATTTTTATACGTGTGCATACAAAACAAATTTCTTGTTAGAGGGGTCTAAATACAGCACAAACAACATTTTCGAAAAGACCAAAAAAGTGAAAAAGTATATTTTAACAAAACGCATTTAACTAACAGGTCGAACAACAAATGTTCTTAAACCCTGCTGACTGCCATTGGCGATTGCCCAATAAAAAGATCACCGATGTAGTAAATGGATCTTAATCATAAATTTCATACTAAAAAGAAAACAATAAACTTGCGGAAAAAATGATATACCGCAAACAAAAGGTGCAAAGGTTTTTGTACACCATATCCGGATTTCGACAATTAATGTCTCTTCAGTGATGTGAGGAATCGAAACGGTATTTGGAAGGCCATATAATTTACCTCAATTTAGGATAGACTCTTGAATTTTGAAAGAGTCGAAATAGGATGAACGGATCATATAAACCAGAAGGCAAATATAATACAAGCCCAAACGAAAAAATATAAACAAGTCTAAATTGAAAACAACGTTCAAACCTATGATTGCGTTGGATAAAAACCGCAATTTTTATACGTGTGCATGCAAAACAAATTTCTTGTTAGAGGGGTCTAAGTACAGCACAAACAACATTTTCAAAAAAGACCAAAAAAGTGAAAAAGTATATTTTAACAAAACGCATTTGACTAACAGGTCGAACAACAAATGTTCTTATATATATATAAATTTAGCCCCCACTACCAAGAAATTTGATTTGCATGCACACGTATAAAAATTGCAGTTTTTATCCAATGCAATCAGGTTTGTACTTTGATTTCAATTTAGACTTGTTTATATTTTTTCGTTTGGGCTTGAATTATATTTGCCTTCGGGTTTATATAATCCGTTCATCCTATTTCGACTCTTCAAAATTCAAGAGTCAATCCTAAATTGAGGTAAATTATATGGCCTTCCAAATACTGTTTCGATTCCTAACATCACTGAAGAGACATTAATTGTCGAAGTCCGGATATTGTGTACAAATTTTTGCACCTCATGTTTGCGGTATACCATCTTTTCCGCAAGTTTATTGTTTTCTGTTTGGTATTAAATTTATGATTAAGATCCATTTTGTTACATCTGGTGATCCGTTTATTTGGCAATCGCCATGGCAGTCAGCAGGGTTTAAGAACATCCGTTGTTCGACCTGCTAGTCAAATGCGTTTGGTTGAAATATACTTTTTCACTCTTTTAATCTTTTGGATAATGTTGTTTGTGCTGTATTTAGACCCCTCTACCAAGAAATTTGTTTTGCATGCACACGTATAAAAATTGCGGTTTTTATCCAACGCAATCATAGGTTTGATCTTTGTTTTCAATTTAGACATTATATACATACATCACATATTTTACACCAATGAATTAATACAGGAAGCAAGGGAATGGGACTGAAACATGCGTCACATAATCACGGAACACAATAAATGAGAGAATATTCAAAATGACACCCGGCCGGCTTGCTGATAGGATTATGATAGACAGATGGTAAAAAAAAAACTCAAGTATACAATTTAGGGGTTTATTCTGGCTATTCCTACATTTTGAATTTTATAGGGAAAACAGTAAAATTTTAAGTTGGAGTTCCCAGAATTTATAAGTAATACAATACAATACAAATAGTTTATTTACGTCTCACCATTAATATTACAATACATAACATAATACAAAGGGGTTATGTAGGATTATGTTGTAACAACACTAAACCAATGAACCAAGGTAAATCCAGGTAAATATTGTGGAAAATAAAGAAAAAGAATAGTTTATAGTACAACAATATTTTATTTAATAAT